CCATCTTAAAAATAAAATAAATAAATATATAAGGGTGTTTTGATTCATTGACACCGTTTCAACAGCCTCTTATAACCTTGCATTGAAAATATCTACGCATGAAGTAAAGTACATAAGTAAGGAGATATTCCCAATGCAAAGCTGTAAAGGTTGTTCAAACAGGGTTTGCTCTCACTGAAGCCCGACTCATTTTAATGATATTATGTATTTATTTGTATGTGATACAGGGGAAGCTCTGAAACTAATAGCCGCGAAATTGAAGAAAAACTGGGATTTCAGCGTGAATCCCTGCACCAAATGGAACACAAGTATGGAACACGACACCATGAACGCGGTTGCGTGCAACTGCACCAACACCTGCCACGTCACCGCCATGTATGACTCCCTCTCCCATCATATTAGTTAGCTACCAACATTTATGTGGGCGACTGGACTATAAAAATCCCCTTCTTTTCAAAATCAAAATCAAAATCAAATTAGATGCAGTCCAAATCAAAATCTAATTGGATGAACCAATATTATTGAATTTGACCAGTTCAGACTTGATGGTCCAAACTCCAAAATATTTATTAGATTAGATTGGACCTGATTCATCGGTAGATTTGTATTGAATTGCATCAAATTGAACCAATGTCTGGTCCATTGGTAGAAGATAAGAATACAAATGTCAATGGACCAGGTTTGGGTTTAATCCAATTTGAATAGATTGGACAACTCAGACATTGAATTGGATTAATCCAAAATGATTCAAAAATATTCATGGAATTAAATTGGACCTGGTCCATCTATAATGAATTCATATTGAACCAAATTGGATTGAACCAAATCCAATCCAATCAACACCCCTACCTGCAAAAGGCTGTGAGCTAAGTGGGTTTGTGGATAGAATCCGAATTCACCAAACTCGTGGCCCAGCTGTTGCACACGCCTGTCTTTTGTACCTCGTTCATTGCTTCTAACAAATACACACTAAATAAGGAATAGGGAAAAGACAGGCCCCATCATTCTAATAGGTCTTGAAGACGAGTCTGGATCTCTTATCCACACAAATTCTGCCCACGTCTACGTATAGTAGCCACACAGAAAATATCCCATCCTCCTACATATCATGCATTTAATGTAGGAGGAAATGTTCCCAATTCACATGAGTGGTGTATTGTGGGTAAACGTGGGCAGGATCCGGGGTCCTCAAACACAGTGAAAAGTAGAACAGCTAGGTTAGGATGAGATACAAAGAATGATGAGGCCTGTCTTTTCCCTATTTCCACATCTACCCCACAGTAGGGCTGTCGGTTCGATTTGTTTTTATTTAAGCGTCACGCAAATTGAAACCAACCCATTAGAATTCAAAACTGAATTTAATTTACAGTCAGTTTTGAATGAACCCTTTTTTCCTTTGAGGAGGTGTGGATAGGCGATCCGATATCTTGTTATTCAGTGTTTGGATTGCATAAAAATTTGTGTATACATCGAGAGCAAAGAATCCAGCCGTACCTAGGGAATATCTCCTCATGATGTGTGGCCGGATGCCCTACTCTAATTGGCTGTGTGGCTTTGATCCGGCTGTGTGGCTTTGATGCGAGAGTTCGAGTGGTTGTGTGGCTTTGATCCGGACTGTAGTACCGCTTGGCCCGAGAACTGTTCAAGCAATCAGTTTCATTTTATTCTAAACTCAGTTTTTGGCTAGGGGTGGATTCGAATCAAGATAAGTCGAATAGCTAGTTATTCGAGCTCAATTCGTCAAGGTAGTATGAGGTTCGAGTTCGGTTTGAGCTAAAATCTTCAGTTTGATCTCTCGTAAATTTGAGCTCGGCTTGGCTTGAGCTTGACTTGAGAAAAATGTTTTATAAAAATAAAAAATTATATATATAAATATTTTTTATTTGATATTTAAAAAATTAAGAATTATAATAATTAATTATTATATATATAATAAAAATATTATATCTATAATATTTTACTATATATATTTTTTCTATAATTTATTATTATTATTATTATTATTATTATTATTATTATTATTATTTACGTATGTATGTATATATGTATGTATGTAGCTATTCGAGCTCAGCTCGTAAGCCTCACAAGCCGAGCTTTACTAGGCTCATGCTCGACTCAATTAATAAATGAGCCTATAAATTGGGCTCGAGCTCGGATCAAAGTTCGGTTGAAACCAAGCCGAGCTGAGTTGGATAGCTCGTGAAGAGCTCAGGTTGTGGTCACTCCTATTATTGGCCAAAAACCATTGAATTTGTCAAAAATCTATTGACATGAGCAGTTGAACCATCAACTCTTTTGAACCTTTCATCGGTTTTTTACCATTTTTTTTATTTTTAAATTAGAACAGGCCATCTATTCGAACTGGATGGTCAAATTGTCAACCAGGAAACTGGTGGCCAGAACGCTTTAGATTCTAGGTTAGTTTTTAAAATCTTGGGTGTAATGCTCGCTTGGAGTCCAACTTCTCCCTAATAGTCAAATTTGAGACTATCTGTTTGGAAGGACTTTTAGGTAATGACTTCTAGCTTTGTAAGGTGGGCCCCACAAAGAAAGCATAGAAAATATGTTAGGTGAAAAACTTGAGAAGTTGAAATATGCTTTATTCAACTAATAAATTGATTTTCCAATAAAACTACTTCTAAAGTTTTTCCAATGCTACTCACTTGAGAGTATCGGTATCAGGTATCATATCGGACAACTTGGATACGGATATGTTTTGGAAATGTATGGATGGATACGAATAAAAAATATGAAAATGCATGGATACACTAGCAAAATGCTTACAAATTCCATAATACAACAATATCATTAAATTTAAGATCAAAATAATCACAAATAGTATACAAATACATAAGAAATGTATATTTTAGTATATATATATATATATATATGAAGAAATATATTATAATTAATATATCCGAATGCATAGATATCATATAGTTTTATTTATAATGCAACAATCGAGAGTCCAAGGCACTAAACATATGCACCTATTATATTTTAATTATTATATAAATTATTTTTATTTTACTATTTTAATTTTTTATATTAACGAAAAGTCAACCAAATATTAAATTCTCAAATACAAATTAAAATATTAATTAATAATTTATAAAAATATAATCTTAACTTAAAGTATATCAAATTTGTTAAAATTTATAATATACATATCATATAAAAATTCATAATTTTTAATTACTAAAATAATTATTCATTTTTTAATATTTTATTTATATAATTTTTCTAATATGAAAAATAATTTTTTGAAATAAATGTAGATTAATGGATTTTATAAATTCAACTTAATGTTATATTCTTAAATATTTTTCTTTTTATAAATAATAAATATGGTGTTATTACTTAATATTAATTAAGAATTTGTAAAAATATATAATAATTTTAATGTGCATATCATTTGCAAATTTATAAATTTTAAGTATTAAAATAATTATTCTATTCTTAATATTTTATTTGTATAATTTTCTTGATATTAAAAATCATCTTTTTATATAAACATGGATTTGATAGATTATTTATTGTATTAGATTATATAATACTATTTTTGAATATTAGTTTCTTTTATTCATTTTGAAAATTTAGTTAGAGTTTTTTTTTGGTAATAGAGATTGAAAAATCGCATGTAGAGACAGAAGTTAATAATTTTATTTTATTTTATTTATTATCAGAGAGATAAACGTGGTTTAGTGGCTTAGAATTGCACTTTTATATAAAGAAACACTGCGTAGCAGCCTATATAGGTGTGTATCAGTCGATACAATGCGATACAAGGTAATACAGATCTGTATGGCTACGATACATACGACTTGAGATAAAAACAATTTATAAATGTACGTTTATAAAAGCACTTTAATAAAAGCAATTTTCTGAATACACTTTTATAAAAGTACTTTTGTAAAATTCAACTAGGGATAATTTTATAAGTGGTATTGTAAACTTCAACTAGGGATAATTTTGGAAGAAAAAATTGAATTAAAAAAAGTTAGATACTTTGGTTTAAAAAAAATAAGCCCTTATTTTTAAAATAAGCACTTATTTGGGCTTATTTCCCAAACACCAATAAGTATTTAATGGTGTGGTCCCAGCCCAAATAAGCACTTATTTGTAAGCACTCTCAAACATGAGCTAAGTCAACATTGTCTTTTTTCCTGCCATTATAATCAATAGGGTGGGTAAGGCAAGTCTTTCAAAGTATATCTTTCAGTGTCCAACAAACCAAAAGATAAACTAAGCTTTTTGGAGGTGGTCTTTGAAGACTAAGACTGTTTAGTAAACATCTTATCTCCTACTAGAAATGGAAAAGTGTATTTTAGGCGCAAAAAGATCAAAAGCTTTATATAAAGTTTCTTGATTTTCAGCTTTTTTAGGCTTTTGCAAGCATTTTTAGAAGTAAGCTTTTTGTCTTTTAGGCTCGGTTTGAAAGGAATACAAATACAAATATGTACAGTACAAATACATACAAATTAATATGAAATACATAGTTTTGTACTCTACATATTTCTATTTATACTCTTTCCAAACTGAGCCTTAATTGTAAAAGGAGAAAAAGACTACATTTTGATATTTCAACTTTCAAGCTTTGAAAAGTCTAAAAAGACCCTACAGGAAGACTAGCCAAATGCCCAATTTATATTTTATAAGAAACTTCACAAGAGGCTTAAGTATTTCTTTTCCAAAAACAAAAGAAAAAAAGGCAAAATGTTTTTTTTTTTATATAAAAAGGGCTGCAAATCCAAATCTAGATAAATCATTTCTGATATGGAATCTTGAATATTTCCTTTTCCACATGCATTTTGAGGAAGGTAACAACAACCTCATCAAAATATTTTCCACAATTTTTTTTCTCATTTATTTTCCATAGAAACCAAATGCAGCCTCAAAAAGGCTTGATTTGTAACTTGACAAGGGTAATTTTGTCAAAGGAATAGACTTGTTCAAACTCAATCATTTAGGCTGTATTTGATTTGAAAGGAAAGGTAATAATGGCCTTTAGGTATGCTTGAGCGTGGTCTCAGGCTGGACATATATGGGCTTGGCATTATAAATTAATAAAATTATATTTTTAAAAATTAAGAAAATTTTTGCTGGTATTTTACATTAATAAAATAATTAATGTAATTTTATAGTCAAAATTATAGAAGATAATTAATTTGTTATTGAATGTAATATTTGCCAGGCCGAGCTGTTTGGGCCTAGGACTTGCTTGGCCTGGGTTCAGCCATTGTGGTCCCGGGAAAATAGGTTTAAGTGCTCACAAGATCGTGTTCATCATTCACCCAGTCCCTTGCAGTTTTACATTGGAAATGTCTCCCTACTTGTATATCATTTTTCATGGGAAGATATTTCCAATGCAAGACTGCAAGGGACTATGCGAATGGAACGGTTTCTTACACCTTTTAAATGAATTGGGGTCTCCTCTTACAACAAAAAAAACCGTTCCAATACATTCCAACATCATCTGTATCCATACATTTTAACCCATCATATACAAGACATGTGAATGCAGATCAAGTTGGAACGGTTTTTTGTGCGCATATATATATATATATATATATATATATATATATATATATATATTATTTATAATAATCTGTTTATATTTTTAAAATATTTATAATATATTATATATCGTTTATTATTTATAATATAATCTATATTATAAATATAAAAAATCAAAAAACCGAACCAATCAAAAACCAAAACCGGCAGTCCGACCCAGCAATTGGGTTAGTGGTTTGACCCGTGACCCAACATGATTTTCACAGGTTGGGTTGTGTTGGGTCATCCTCAAATTCGGGGGTGGCTAGTTATGAGACCCAACCCCTGTTTTTCTAGTTCAGGTCCAGTTGTGAACTGACAAAGCCTTTTGATGGGTGCTGTTTATTGTTTGTTTGTTGGGTTTCATCGGGCTGTTAGACCTGTTGGGCCCAGGCATAGCTGTTTTTGGTAACCTGGGCCTTTTTCAGGTTTCTTTTGTTTTCTGTTTTGGGTTGATGCTTCTAGTTCGGGGTTACTTCTTAGGTGCTGGTAGACGTGTTCATGGGCTGGGTGGCCCGACGGGCCGGCCTGACCCGGCCCCCGGACGGGCTTGGACATTCTTATAGACCCACAGACTTAAATTCGGGCCAAAAAGCCCGGCTCGCAATAAATTCGAGTCGGGCTCGGGTTTTGTCAAAATAGCCCGGGCCGGCTC